GAATTTTGATTGCTTTGATATCAGTTTTCATACTCCACTTTGTCTGAATCTGAGCACAGCTGACATTTCTGCTGAACACAAAAGAACATTTTAACACAAAACCACCATGAGAGTATTATAGAAATAGTATATGACTTGTGCACTATATTCCAAGTCTTCTGAAGCCATAAAATAAATCTATTTTTAATTATATTATTAATTTATATTTTAATTATATTATTTTCAATTATATTGTTAATAATTATTAATTACATTCTACATATAGCTAACTAATTGTATTTTTTAAATGATTGTTACTTTTTCTATTTCTTTTTTCTCTCTAGTTTTCCTTATATGAGAGAAGTAGTAATTGAGTCTCGTTGAAGAATTAATTCTTTTAAGTTGGATCTTTTCAATGAATTGGTTGATCCAGTTCATAAAACAAGTACAAGGGTGTGTTTACACTTGTAGTTCAGTAGAAAATTATACATGTACTTCTGGTTTGCTTAACGTTCACATTGTCATTTTTAAGAATGAACATATGGATACAAAACAAAAGACATAAGGATACGGTCGCAACCTGATTGAACAGCTTTTATGATGTATATTTTGCAAACTTACTTAACATCCAAAACAATGCTGTGTGCTAGGCTAAATGTGTTTGTTGTACGTGTATGCATATGGTGTTATTTATTTATTTATTTTTTACCAGCTTATAACTCATTAAGAGCTTATAAATTTTATTGCACACACAAACGAAGATCTGCTGTAAGGAGATGGCAGTTCTGACACCTGTACTGAACTATGATGAAAAGAACCAGATATGCTTGAGCATTTTGTCCTTTTTAGGGTTGCATCTTGTGACATCTCATCCTGTTTTTGCTTTGTTCAGATGTCTTTGGTGCGTGTTGCATTCATATATCAGTTAAACCGTACCACAGTTCATTTGGAATCGGACTGAGACCCACCTTTTACAGGGGTTTCTATTCACTTGTTTGGTCTGCACAAAGGTTTGCATGAGATTCTATGAGCCACACTAACAGATCAATCACACCAGAGTTTGTTTTAATCTAACCAAACCTGCCAAGTGTAAACATGCCCTAAATGATTCATTCACAAATCAGACTAATCTACTTCTGGAGTTCTGGAGTTCAACTCAGGTCACAGTGGTCAACTACTTACTGAAGAGGAAATAATAAGTAAATAATGACTTAAAATACTGTAGAGTCTGTTCATCTTCAGATATAGCATTACAGCGTTATTACTATTGGATTCATTTTGAATCTTTAAAGCTTTAGTCTCATTCACTGTTACGGCATTTTAAAGAGCTCAACTTAACTTAAAATGTTCTATTTTTGTGATCCTCAAATGCAAGAAAGTCATACAAGTTTGGACGGACAAGAGGGTGACTAAATGATGTCAGTATTTTTGGTTGAACTGTTCCTTTAACAGGTTGTGCTTGGTTTCTGGATTTAACAAGTACCTCTGACATGGAGTGAGTGGAAACCATTTACGTATTGGAAAAATCACATTAACAGATGTGGCTTGAGAAACATTTAATTCAAGGCAGAGCAGAAGATTGGTATCTGTGTGTGTGTGTGTGTGTGTGTGTGTGTGCGCACACACCTGTGTCCTCATGTCAGTCCACTATTGCTGTCTGAGTAATACAGGCTTTAAATGAATAGTGCCCCGGAATGGGGATGGACGTAATTGCAAATGAAATTGGTTTTGAAATTAGTTGTTCCAATTACATACTTAATAGAAACCAAGGAATGACCAGCACTGGAAGAGGCCAGAGTATTAACACATTTTGCCACTGAGAAATGAAGGAACTGCTCTCAGTGACGGGAGCAAGACCCCCCACCCCCCTTCCTTCCGTAGCTTTTCAACAGAAACTACTTCTGTAGTTTAAGGCCTTATGTTTGGAAAAGAATGATTTCAGAGAGTTGCTATTCATGGAAGTAACACTGTGAGCAGAAATGGCATTTTTTAGAAGCTAATAAACATCTTGATGTCTTTTTTGAGTGCTTAATGGAGCCATTGTCTAACATTCAACAAAAGTATAGTATTATTGATTAAAAATTACATTTAATAACCTCTCTGTGCACTCCAGTGGCTTTCAAGGCAAAAAGATTTATTTGAAAAAACTCACAGAAAATGCCATTAAACAATTCTGAATTATATTGTCAACCCATCTTAAAGTAAATGTATTTCACGAGTTCACACTTTCTTATAATTAAATAAAGGTTATGCGTATTTGGCGTGCTGTCCAGGGAGAGGGCTCCGAGCCCGGGGCACCCCCCCCTGTCCGGGGAGAGGGGTCTGAGCTTGGTGTCCAGCCCGGCCCAAAAGCGCTCCCCCAGAGTGCTTCTCCCCGTGCTGGGGTAGAAACTATGCTGAAGGTGCGGGGTCGGGGTGGCGGAGGGATGCTGAAAGTCGAGAGATGACGAAGGTAGGACGTACTTGGTTATTTATAGGAGTTTTCTCTTGTGCTGATTTGATAAATGGTGTAATCACTAATGACGAACTGGCCGTGTTAATTATCTGTGCGTGCTCCTCCCGAAATTTGTTTATATACATCACTTAAAAAAAAGATAAATGCCACAATTCCAGTATTCATTTTAACCAGTGTCATCCTGCTATAACTATATAAATGCAATCCTGAATAGACTCTGACAAGATATAGTCCAGTCAAATCTAAGATAGGTTTAGATAGGTTAAGATAATCTAAAATGGGTTTAGGTTTAATTATCAGTGTTTCGTTTAAGGAAAACACAACATTTTCTTAATAAAATAATTGCTGGCTCAATATTAACACATTGATCTTGACACTCTAACAGCTCTGAATTTTCATATCGATATTCATCCACTCACTACTGATTCCAAGCATTTTTCTGCAGGAATTAGAAAATAATTCACCTATAAAAGAAGGCTGGTCCATGCAACCTTGCTATATACCAAGTCTTCTAAAGCCAATGTATTACTCTATCAGAGGAACAAACCATATTTTAAGTCAGAGCTCTCAAATATCAAAGTTCTCAAATCAAGATCTGACGTCAAACCATGGCTTTATGCATCTTTCATGTTTGAATAACCACTTAAATTTCATTATGTTCTCATTCAGAAGTGTGTCATTCAGAAGTTATTTGAACTTTTTATGAGCTGTCAAGACGTTTTGAAAAAAAAAATCCACAGAAGATAAAAAAAAAAACATTAAGGTTTGTAACAACATAAAATAAGTACCTTTTGTATCCCACATGAAACTCCACAGCATTACTTATTACGCAATGACAAAAAAACTAAGCCTTTCCGAGACTTTCTAAAAAGAGATCTGAAACGTTTTATTTTCAGTGTGACTTTCGAGCATGTATGTTTCTGTCTGATTGGGGGCGCATGGCACCGTGTTTCAGAAGCTTTTATTTCTCCACGTGCTCTCCGTGTAGTGTGCAGAAAGGGGAACCAATCAGCGCTCAGCAGGACGGAGCGGGTGGGACGCTGAGTTCAACTTCAAATTCATTCAGCCCTGTACAAATTATTATTCCAGAGAAGAGAAACTCGAGCGGCTCATTCAAAGCCTTTTAAAGAAGTGTCAATTTCACTTGCATTCGACTACATTTGCCTGACAGGAGCTTTGTTGCAGGGTTATATATATATATATATATATTTTTTTTTTTTTTCATCTTCGGTCCGGGCAGCAGGTGTTCGGTGACCGCCACATAGCTCAGTTCTCTTCGTTTGATGCATTCATTCAGCCAAACCTCACTGCAAGAGCGTTAGGCGAGGACTTTAATTTAACTTTCCAAAGTTAAGATTTACATCGATTCACTGCAAACCCCCGAACTTTAAATAGTAACTGCCGGAACAGAGCTCAAACAATTGATAAAGGTGAGGAGACTATAGCACACATACATCTCGGGAGACGTCTATTTGATGTCTGCATTTACATCTGCAAGACGTATTTTTTAGTGTTTGCTCATCTGCAATACGTCTATAGGACGTTTCCTTTCAGATGTCAAATAGACGTCTATTAGATGTCTTTAAGATGTTTATGATTTAGAATGTATGTAAAACTGACATCTGAAAGACGTCTGTTAGATGTTTGTCCACAGCAGATGCTTTCCAGATCAAGAGATCTTTAACAGACATCTTGCAGACGTACATGTGTTATGTGTATTGTGCGTTTACCGTCGCCATGGTGTGGAACTGGGAACGTTCATTTGTATTGACGGTTCAAGAACTTGTATTCTTCCGACAGGATAAAAAACTCTAAAATATTCCTAACAGTGTTTCTGTCTCACAATTTACAAACACTCCGCTACTGAAGCTACAACGCGACACTAGTCCGACCTCGAACGAATGGCTCTTAAGAGTCGGTTATTTTGAGTGAATCAAAAACACAGAGCGCGTCCAGTGTAATCCGATTCCTAAAGGAGGGACTCTCAAGAGCCGGCTCTTTTTAGTGAATCAAAACATGCAGAGCGACTAGTGTGGTCAAATGATTCCTTGCCTGGTCTTTTTAGTGAATCAGTTATGTAGGCTATCATTCAGGTACTGAATTGATTTGACTCATTTACGGAGCCGCAAGTTATTTTTTGTTTTGTATTTCTATTTAATTTTTTAGCTAAGTTTGTAAAAGTACCTAATTAAAACATCTCAGTAACACACTTTGTCCTAGAAATGTATTAAATGTATAGGCTATCAGCTCAGAAGTTCTACGAATTAAGTCATATTACACCGTTCGTAAGTTGCTACTCACGACGTCTGCTTTTTCTGTTCACAGGTGTTTATTCCTTTACGAGGGTTTATACAGGACGTTCTTTTGCGCCTTGGTTAACCTGTTGGATAGATAAAGTCTTCTGGGTAACATTACACTTAACCAGGTCTGCTCCAAATGGATAAAGACACATCTAATGAGCACCGATATGGATTGTAAGGGATTCTTCAAGAGTCGCTCAATGCCGTGAAAATGCTCGAAATGATCGGGTAGATAATCCAAGCCTACGTCAAAACAACGTGGTTTTACAGGAGATATATTGACGCTCTAAGGGGATAAATTAAATCCGGTACACTCAAACGTATTAATACTTAACTGGAATCAATACCGAAGCATCATGAGCCGTCTCGGGACACAGAAGAGCGGCTCGCGATTACTGAAGGGATGTTCACGGAGCGTGTCGTTCATTTTGGAACAGCGTACGGAGACTTGGTCTTTTTGGTTTGAAGGTGTCGTTTTTTTCAGTGCTAAATGCGCTGATGAGGGTGAGAGCTTCCCGAAAGCCGTGAGACATGAAAGTAAAGCGACCGGGGAAGTCGCGGACTCGGAGCTGAACTCTCCGGCGTGTGGGGTGAATGAGAATCGCCTTGTAAATGCGGTGAAGCGGAGCGCGCACTTTTGGCTTTTCTCACAAACCTCTACATCTGCCGAGGTTATAGATTCCAGCTTTAGCGGGGGTCAGAGCCCTCTTACCAAGGGCAAGGTTAAAGGGATTATTCACCGACAAGGAAATACAAGGAAGGCGATGACAAGGAAAGCGAAGTGCGGGATGTGGGGTTGGATTTTTGCCCTTGTGTTCTTCTGGAATACCCACATGTTGCGCGCTCAAGGTAGGCTAAGTTTCGAGGGTTTAAAACATTATTTTGACACGTAAATATTTTTCCAAGACCTTTTAAGTTATTAAAAAAAAAAGGGGATTATAATAATGTCATTGCATAAAACTGTATAGTTGTAGCATTATTGTTAATTGTTATTTAAAGATGAGGTACATTTTTTTTTACATTTAGTGCTCTTAAGGGAATCGGAGAACCTGAAAGAGAAGAGCATTAGGGGCAGAGAGAAAAAGAGGGACATAAGCTAGAGAGAATGAGAATGGGATGGATTGAAATGAAAAGAGACACATAGAGGAAGAATTGGGGGACATAGAAAGAGAGCTGAACAGACAGAGTGAGGGACACGGAGAGAGAGAGGGGTGGGTGACCGTGCCCGTGTGTGTCTCAACAAAAGCGGTAAAGGACATATGCTGTCAACACGCACATTTTCTCAGGTCACACACATGTCTTATTGACTGACCATGAAACTGACAAGTAGAGGGAGCAGGATGCATGAATTTACAAAGTGCATGTGTGTGAAAGGGAAAGGGTGTAAAGGAAACGATGCTGACACACTCTGAGATTCAGAATTATGATTCAGAGCAGAATTCAGTTAAGCCTTGACTGGAATCGGCTTCATCAGGCTGTAGACTGCATACGGTGCCAGCTGGATCGCTCTGATTGAATTAGGATGTTTTAAAGCACACCACAGATTTTGCGTGCCACGCGTGGGCGCATCTCAGTCTTTAAAATGGCAGCAAGATTAAACGATTCAAAAGTATGATTGTATTGCAAACGACGTCTCACCGTATTAAACGCATTTGGCATGGAGATGCCGTGGGCTTTTCAGTGTTGGGGCTGTGAAATCCATCTCTCTTTCTTTTAGAGGTTGCATTAATGCAGACGCATGAATGCATTCGACTTAAAACAGTTTACAAGAACACCCACTCCTGTGACTTTTCTTTAGCATTGGGGGCTGGCACTTTTTTCCTCTCTCTTTCTCTGCATGCTTGCAGACTCAGCTTTCTCCCCTGGTTAATGTCAAGGTCTCGCTATGGCTTTGGATGTGGCCCAAACCCCAACCTTAAGGAGGTCAGAAGGTTATTGATCACATCCCATCAGGCAAATGGCACAAACGGAGTCATCTTGCTTTGTCAAGCATCGTACTAGTTTGATTCCATGCAGTGCAGACATCAGTTTTCCCTAATTAAGTTTATTCGTTCAAAACCTGAAATCCCTCAAGGATTTGTGTCACTTTTGAAGAAATGAAACATTTGTTATTCAAAAGTTATATTTAGAAGCAGGCCACTTGCAAGAAAGAGTCCAATGTAAGATCAACTTCTAAATCACTGTCAAGGTCTGCTCATGGTAAGAATTTGGAGCCTATTATAGACAAAGGCGGAAACCATTAATATGATATTTGCAACAAGTATGAAGCAGCATTTCAACATGAAATAACACTAATTTGAAGGTTAACATTTAACGTTTTTTTAATGAGCATTGCCTTCTTAAGATCTGTTTATCTGAGACCAGAATTTTGACAGTAATAGAAAACCTGGAAATGCTAAGAAATGTTAAAATAATTGTAAATTTCATATTATTATATAAATGTCACTGCAAATCTTAAGCATTTAATCTGTAAGAAAGTGCTCTTTTATCCAGTAAACTATGCAGTAATTCCAAGCATTGACTAATAAGAAACATACAATTTTAGAAATTCATTGGTCAAGTTGTTGGATCCCTGTTAGACACTTGCTGTTCCATGCAGTTTAATTAGAGCCGGTTTCATCCAGTTTTCCTGTCCTGGACCTGCTAATAATACAAGGTACGCCATGTATTTCCTTCCCTTTTCCCTCTAAAAAAGACCAATGTCAAATTCATAGTGAATGAAGAGTCTCGCTGTACGTACAACATGCATCAACAGGTGTCTTTGTGGGTTTTCTTTTAACCCTAAACAGATTTTTTAAAATACTTCAGTCCCAAAAGCTGAAACTTTTGAGAACTGTCACATGCCGTCCCAAGTTGTTTGGCTGCGCTCTCTGTATTTATGACTCTTGCCAGGCATGTCAGTCATGAGTGGCTTTCTGTGTGTATGCTCTCAATGCACATCAGTGATGAATGTTTGCATTCGAACGCTCTGACATCTTGATGCGCCACTGAGGTCCCTCAGAGAATCAGATGAAGAAGAGAGGTGCGAGAGAGATGGGATGAGAGAAGATATGTGGGCTGAAACAAGCAGAGAGGGTGCAGATGTTAAAGAGGAGTGGAGCGTGAAAAGGAGGAAGCAGTGCATAAAGAAAAAAGGGAAGGATGGGATGGGATGGAATGGGTAGTCCTCTACGGAGGAGAGCACTGGCATCTTTTTACCATGCTCTTCCTTCACATCCATCAAAAGAGACAGTTTTAGGGTCACTGGGATGTGTATCAAATCAAAAAGGAAAGAAAAGCCTGTGCGTTAGCTAAAGCAGAGGAAGAGAGGAGGGAAAAAGTGGAGTGGAGGAGAACATAATGATTGAGGAAGGCAAAAAAACCAAGAGAGAGAGAGAGAGAGAGTGTGTAGGCATGATAGAATGAAATCGAGATTGACGTGATTGCTTGTCTGTGGGTGCGCGTGTCCGTGTGCGCGGGCCCTGGCTGGGTCGGCACGGCATGAAAACGGCTCCTTGTGTCTGAAGCCTCTCTCTGTGCCGCTCTGGTCAGATGGGCTTTTGATCCCGGGTGACAAACTCCTGCAGGGGCTGAATAAGAACGGCTCAGAATTACACCCAGTGCCACACTCCAGTACATACTGCACCCTTCCCACAATGCCCTGCCATGTTCCCACTGGCACACTCAAGCACCATACTGCCTTCCAACACTTAATGAAACACAGTTTCCATAAATATTCAAACCAATCCTCTACGCTTCACTCTATGGCCAGGCTGGTTGTTTATCTAGACAAAGTAAATCAAGACTCAGTGGTGTTTACTAAAGAATACTATTGCTATTATTCAAACAAAAGCTTGGAACTTATATCCAGGATATCCAGGACTGTTCGTGTTATAGATATGGGTGATACCTCAAATCATGTGGTTTGTTTAGGAGATTGTTTTTAGCATTAGGCATTGTCGGTGAAAATGTCCAATTAACTTTTCTTGAAGGAAAGGCATTTCTCAAATGCTGAAAGGTGCATCAGGTAGGTTAATTAAATGTGTATTTTTCAATGTTCTTATTTGTCTTCCTGAACAAATTTTTCATAGTGATAAGGTTTTGAGGAATAACAGTAACGATTAGACATTGTTGGAGCAAAATTACCATTCCAAATGTTCATTGAAGTAAGGGCATTTTCTTAAGAAAATTTAAAAATCTTTCTAGGATGAGCTTAATAAAATGGCTCAGATGCTTAAAGGTGCATTACATAATCTAATTAAATGTGTATTTGTTGATTTCATTTGTTGTCCTGAACAACGATGGCATTAGTCTCTCTACTGCCACCTTCGCTACAACATAACTTGACTCTGACTGGGAAATGGGTTCATGTGATTAAGTCAAAATGTTCATTAACTTGAATTGCAAGACGTGGATGGTCATGTGATCTCAACATGGCGGCCACCATAAAGGGGCAACCTGAATAAAATGGACTACTGATATGCTTGAATCATCTCATGTAACTTGACCTTATTTTAAACATATTTGTCAAAAATATTGTTCATTTCTTTGGGTGAGTAATGTAGCAAAATTTCAGCAAAAAAAATCAAACAGCAAATGAAATAGATTTTCGGTTTTGGCTGAAATGTTTCTATAGGGTCAAACTCATTTATCGGAACCATGACGTTTAGTTTAATAAACTTTTCTGATGACACAACTATTTCATTACTATAATGTGGATAAGGTACAACAGATAAACATGTCAGCAGTGTGAATGATGCTAGAGTAACAATATATAAAATTTGTTCTGCTGAAATATTCAGAGGTGGCTTGTTGCCAAAGAGCTTTAATATGACTTGTTTTAGTACTGAAATGTTATTTTCGTTTTTGGACTCTAATTTTAATTTCTTTTTCTTAAAAAAACTAAATGAGTGCATATGATTTAGTTTTAATTTACATCTAGCCCACCTTGGCTCTCTTCTCTGGATTGTTCCTCTGCTCATTTACCTTCTTTTACCATGTGTTGCTCCACATTTCTCACACTGACACCCTTAAGGAATTTCAAAGTGGCTTTTTGTGTGACTGTGTGTGTGTTTACGCATGAGTGCAGCGTTAGTATCGGGCCGAAAAGCCGTTGTGCCTTTATTGTTCCTTGTATTGTCCGGTTGTAGACCCATCCCTCCCCCAATCGTGACCCAGACTGTGACATTAACCAAAGCCTTTGTGTCTCTTTTATTCTAAAGTGGCCAAATGAGTATAGACCTCTTAATTTCAGTAGTAAATGAAGTAATTTAATTGGTTTACTGCTAACCACTTTTCATTATAGTAATCATCTTGAATGATTAGGAAAAAATAACTTTGATAGTTTGACGACAGGTGGTCCATTACGAACAACAATATAACTGATCATATTCACTGTGAAGAATTAAAGAGCTTTGAGGAAATGCTTGGCAATAAACACTTATATTTAATTCACTCTGCCTGTCTGAACACATCTGCCTTCCGCATTTAAGTATTATCAGGCTATCATTACATGCACAAGACATGCTCGATGTCCTGTCCTTCCACCCCCTCTTTCTGTCTTCAACCAAAAGTTAGCACATTTATTGGCATGACAGTAATGAATCTTATTTAGAATAAGATCAAAGCCAGACGACATAACATTTTCACACAGAGCAATTTTGATTTGATTTTACATGTGAAACGCTTTATAAATCCCCCCCTCTGAAATCCTCTTCAGCTGTTTCTTCTTTTTTTCTCTATTTCTTTCCTTTTTTTCTCTCTTGTTGATGCCTGTAGCATTGAGTTTGAGTCAAAGCATTGGCTTTTGGACAGAGGCCTTTCCATCGTTACTAATCAGCTTTCACACCAATAGATTTTTTTCTTCTGCA